GACCAGCACACAAGGGCCATGGCCCCCCCTCCCCTGCCTCAGTATGCCACTATTCCCTTCTTAAAGATGAGCACTGCATTTGCCCTTTTCCAGCCATCTGGGACCTCACCCAACCTTCATGAGGTCTCAAAAAGGATAGCCAATGGTTCCAAAATTACCGCAACTAATTCCTTCAGTACCCTTCTGTGTGTCCCATCCAGCCCTGCCAATTTGAAAGCATCTAGCTTCTCTAAGTAATCGGCTCTTTGGGCATCTTTACATGTGCTCTGGAATGTGGTGGGTGGAGTTGGGTGCTTTAATTACAGTGGCTCTCAGGCGCCACTCTTATTAAAGCTCCCGCAGTGTCTCATGTATTCAGTCTATCGGTGGTGCTTTAACTAAAGCTCGTTCGATGAGCTGTAATTAAAACACCCACACTCTCATTTTGAAATGTGGGGATGCTGAATACACATAAGACCAAGGCTGCTGGAGCGCACTAATTAGCCTGCTCCAGCAGACTCAATTAATTGCATGCATCAGAGCAGGTTTATAGATTGCACACGCCAGAGCAGGCATTGGGCATGTGTATAGGTGTCCTTTGTCTCCTTCCTTGTCTCTGCTGCCAACTGCTCATCGTCTGGTAGTTGCCCCTCTTTGTGTAAAATGAAGTAAAAAAGGCATGAAATACTTCAGTCTTCTGTGCATCGTCTGTAACTAGATTGCCTTCTGCATTCCAGAAGGGACCTAACATCTTTGGTCTTCCTCTTACCTTCAACATAATGTGTATTAAGCAAATGTGCATTAAGTATAGGCGTATGTAAAAGCTCATGTAGACATACCTGCAGTGTCCTTATTTTGCTGCTCTTCTTTCTTCCTCCCCTTAAGATCTTGATAGTCATGTTGTGGTCACTGGGTGCATCTACACAAAACGCTAAATGTGCCAGTAGACTAATTTTACTCTGCATTAGTGCATCAGGGCAAAAGCCATGTGCAGTAAAATTAGTCTGCTGCACATTAGCATCACTAAAAAGGCATGCACCAGTGAGTTAGTGCCTGTTATTACAGGTACTGAACTTAATGTGCAGTAACTACGGTGCATTAATGCACGTGTAGACATGCCCACTGTTACTCAAGTTACTGTCCATTCTTCTGTCTCATCGGGATAGATGGAAAGTGGAAGTGCAACAGGAGACCAGCCTGACCAGTAATCTCTTCAAAGAGCTGAAACTTGAAAAGGAATCCTGTAAAAAGTGGAAACATGGTCATAGTGGTAGGAAAGGGCATGAGAGTATTGCATAGGCATGCATGGAGAACATTAGGAAGGCCAAGGTGGAAGGGAGAGGCTCCAGGAGCTTGAGCTTTGTGGACATGCAAAGAGAAGACTAAGGTGACTTGAGCACGGGTGCAAAACATTTTCCTACCAAGCTCCTCAAGTTAGCTGCCAAAGGTATAATAACATCTGATGTCTGAGAGTTGCAGCCAGACAAATCTAGGCCAGAAATAAGGCACAGTTGTGGAGACTAATTAGCAGCTGAAATAACTGAGCAAGGTGTGCGGTCAATTCTCCATCAGCTGCAGTTTTTGAATCATGATGTGATTCTTTGGGGAGAACAAATGAGGATTCATCCTAGGAAATCATGCAGCCAGCGTGGACAGATGAAAAGATCAGCTTCAAATCTTATGATCTATTCATTTAGTATGCATTTAAGGACAGACCTGCTAAGCCAGAACTGCTGATTTCCTAGGATGAATCTTCATTTGATCTCCCCAACTGAGTCCACTGGAGCATGCAAATTAGTTACCTGGTTCTTTCCCCTTATCCCATCTCAGACGGCTCAATCCTATTCTACATTGATGTGCCTGGGTGGCCAGGACCAGGCTCCCAAGAGAGATGGAGTGGCTCAGTGAGATGGAAGGTCCTTGGTCTTGCCACTTAGCCCTTATGTGCTTTCTGCACCTTGCATTTAATATTTGGAATGGTAATAATAATGATAATGATGATATCAGCTAAAATGGGGCAAACCGCAGTAGAACCATTTCTGTCCCACTGGAAGTTTGGGCCAGAGCCAGAAAGTAATGCAGCATCTGTCTCATTGAGCCACACTCCCTCATCCTGGCCCCGATGTATCCTTCCACCTTAACTAGCTTCTTCTTGGGTAATGCTGAGCCTGGGGCTTGGTGCTTAAGGAACTTTTCTGGGAAGCAGAAGATGCAGGCTCAAATCCCTTCTAGGTCAAGGGTACCTTAAATGCGGATTTCAAGTGCACTAAGCACTGAGTTATTGGGCTGAAAGGCACCCGTGTTGCTTCCAGCAAGTACACACACCTCTGATATTCCTGTTTTGTTGCCTATGGAGAGATAAGCCTAACCGTGTGTAAGTGCCGTAAACCACAATTACACTGCTATGTGAGTGCCACTTAGGCACCTCAAGGCAAAACAGGATTTGGACCTTGCTTTCTGACATCTGCTAATAGAAACATGAGGGCAAGAGACTTGGGGGACACACACACGGGGTCCTTTTTTATTTCCTGCAAACCTGGAGAGCACAGGGCAGTTTTTCAAATAGTGCTCTGCAGCCAGCAGGGCTGGAAAACGTCAAGTGAGATCCTAACCCCATTGGTTGGTTTAATGTCCTCTAGGGATAAGTAAGATGATGTGCCTTCCATAAATTGGCACAATGTTTTGTCACCGTCTCTTAACTATACTGTGGTTTCCACATATGGTGCCTTCTATTATCTGGTTTTCACCCAGTCCTCATCTGACCCGGTGTTTTTCATAGACTTCCAGGGACTACAGTGCTGCCTTTGCCTTGGCTTTGCAACGTGGTTTATACAGATTTTTTCACTGACCTCATTTCAGTTTTTGCATTGTCAACGTATGTTTTTGTCGATGTAAGTTTACTCTTTGCAAGATTTGCATAAAACAATCACCTTTTTCCCTAGAACGCGAAGGGAAAAGGAAGTGTGAACTTTGCAAATATTAGAATTGTTCTTTCGGCTTCAGGAAATCGGGTGATTTCACCTGAAAAAAAAAAATGGAATTGTGCTTTTTCTCCTCTCCTTTATAAACCACAAACATCTTCTTTGATTTTTTTTTCCTGAGGGTTTTGGTTTTTTGTTTGTTTGTTTGTTTGTTAAATAACTGCTGGTTTTAATTTCATTTGTTTCCTGTTCCCACTAGAATCAGTGGCAAAACTCCCCTCGCTCCACAGCTGGCTGAGAGCTATGGGGAATAGCTGGTGTTGGTGTTTCGCATCCATCTTTTTTCCTCCTCCATAGAAAGATGGGCAATGGATAGGGTTGGGTGGCAGTTGTGAGGAGCTCGGGCAGTGTCTTTGTAGATGAAAAACTTGATTCATCTTTGTTACAGTTATGTTGTCACTGGGTTATTCAGTTTGGTCTTGGGGTAGATGATGGTTCCATTTCTTTTTTATTTTTAAAAGAATGTTACCAGAGGATTGCATGGACACTGTTTTGTCAATAAAAAGAATCAGACAAAATGGGTATCAACTTTAATGGAGCAGGAGATGGCCCATGATGGACTCCAAGTTTTGTCTCCCCTGTTCTTGCAGGTGGAGATCCATAAAGCTGAGCTTGAGAGATGTCCCATAGCTCTCAGTGGAAAAGACGGGGTGGGAAACCTTACACGTTACAAATCTTCTGAGTCCTCATAGGTTAGCACAAAGCAGCTTGATGAATCTGCTGGGCATGTATCTGCTCTGGAGTGGACAGGAAACACATAGGGTTTCTTCTGGAAGGGCAGAGAGCCATGAGTTATCGCATGTATGGGAAGAACAAGGTGTTGAAGGAAGTGGGTTGTGAACCTTGGGAATCCTCCGTGCCCTAGAGTGTAGTAAGGCCTCTTGCCCATGTCTTGGTACATGGAGCACACTGCCAAGGATGGTTTCAAGACAAAGACTGGTGACCCTGGCAATAACCGGTGATGGTTATAGCTCTGTCACAGGCGAGTATTGATGTAAGTGGGTGATAATGAAAGCGGGCAAAAGCCCATTATGAACAGTTCGACTCTGGGCTTGCCATCCCTCAGAAATGGGCTGAATCCTGCGATGTGCTTGAAAGCCTTCAACTTGCACTGAAGTCACTCGGTGCAGAGGGCTTCCTGCATCGTACAGCAGATCCTTATTGCCCTACAGGGTATTAATGCCAAGTCCGCAGGGCCCAGATTGAAACCAGCCAAGACGTACCAGCCCACTTCTGACTCCTGCTGAGTTCAGTAGGAGCTGAGAGCACTCAGTCCCTCAAAAAACCCGTAACTCTCACCCACGTTTGGTCTCTCCAAGTAATCACAAAGTGAAGAAAAAACTAGTCCACCACAACTTCTTACTGCTGTTGACTCCAAACGAGCGGCTTCTCTTCTAGCATCACAGCATGTCCAAACACAAGAAAAGATCACGATCTTTGCATCCATTATATTTTAGATGAAAAATCTAGGCTACGTAGAAACAAGGTATAACTGTCCTGCCTTGTGGTAACAACATTATAACTCTAAGATGCTGTAGTATAGCAGATCCCTCCCAAAATGGTTAGCTTATCAGGTACAAAGCAAAAAAAAAATAAATAAAAAGACCCAGTTGCACAGAATAGAAATGGGTCCCTGTTGTAAAAGTTAGATCCAGATCTGGTTTCCAGCTGCATGAGAGTTTGGCCCGGGGTGGATTGGCTGGGGTCATGATCAGGACCGAGGGCGTATGTGAAATATAAGTAGAGGCTCCAATGCTAAGCCCTTGGTCCCTAACCCTTCGAAGTGTGGGGGTGTTTTGATTTGGGAGAATGGATCAAGCTCGTGATAACAAATACGCTGATGCAGAATTCCTTAGAAATAATGAGTGAAGGAAAACATATGGGTCAGTGATTTGTACTTCAGCATTTTTCTTCCCCTGTAGATTTTTGTGAGAGCTCTTCCTGTATTGTACCCGCCCCGTTACGATCGTGTAGAGAGCGAGCGAGGTCCTCGATCAATGCCTATTGTCTGACTTTGTGGATTTGTGTGTCTTCCGGCAGGTGTGTCCTCTGTGGCGTCCCTGATGTCCCTGGCTTGGGTGCTAGCCTCCTATCACAAGCTTCTTCGGGACTCTAGGGATGACAAGAAGAGTATGAGCTACAGAGGGGCCCTCATACATCTCTTCTGGCGCCTCTTCACCATCTCATCCAGAGTTATTTCTTTTGCTCTCTTTGCTTCCATCTTCCAGCTCTACTTTGGGATCTTTGTAGTGGTCCACTGGTGCGCCATGGCTTTCTGGATCATCCATGGTGGGACAGACTTCTGCATGTCTAAGTGGGAGGAGATCCTCTTCAACATGGTGGTAGGGATTGTGTACATTTTCTGCTGGTTTAATGTCAAGGAAGGGCGGACTCGATACCGAATGTTTGCATATTACACTGTAGTCTTGACAGAGAATGCTGCCTTGACACTCCTTTGGTATTTTTACAGAGATCCTAACACTACTGACTCATATGCCGTGCCAGCACTGTGTTGGGTCTTTCTTAGCTTTGTTGCTGGGATAGCTTTGATGCTGTTATATTATGGTGTGCTGCATCCCATGGGGCCAAGAGCTAAGATTTTTGCCAGCTCCTGTTGTGCCGAGCTGCTCTGGGGCATTCCTTTGCCCCCTGATGTTGAGCCCATGGCACCTCAAACCCCTGGGTACCGGGGGGCCCAGGCTACGCCTACCAGAGCGGTCACGGAGCAACAGGAGGAACTCACAGCTGACACTTGCTTGCCAGTTTTCCAGGTGAGAGCAATGGTGCCATCTACTCCATCTGGGCGGGCCTACTACCCAGAAGGTCCTCTCATTAAGATTGACATCCCAAGAAAAAGGTACCCCGCATGGGATGCTCATTTTGTAGACAGGAGGTTAAGAAGGACTATCAACATTCTCCAGTATGTCACCCCCACAGCCGTAGGTATTAGGTATAGAGACGGACCTCTCTTATATGAGTTGCTACAATATGAATCTTCACTTTAAAGCTCCTTTAAAAAAGAGGGAAAAAAAGGTAAAAGAGGGGACCTTATTTTTGTTTACGGTAAATACAGATCATGAAACAACCACAGCCCTTCCGATAAGCTTTCTTTCTGGTTGCTGTATGTATAAAAAAAAAGAAAAAAAAAAAAGATATTCTCTATGTTTTGTAAGTAAAAACAAAAAGAAAAACTTTTCTTTTGTTTTTTACACGCAAGAAACAGTATTTCAACTTCCACACCTAGGATCCAGAGGTGGAGAAGAGGCGTCTCCGTATCCGTTTTATACCTTATACCAAGTGTTAACATTATTTATGGGATTGGTGCTGATTGAAAAATAAAAACAAACAAACAAACAAACAAACCTACAACTGCCTTATGCCCTGAGGTGCTGAGTTTCATTAAGTACTGTCACCTTTCTCATGCAAAACTCTTCAGTGATTTTATGCCAGGAAAAAAAACGAACAACCGTAATGTACAAAACGTTAAAAAAAAAAAAATAATAAGCAAAGAAAAGCAAAGAGAAACAACAACAGCAAACCTACAACGATGACAAAAAAAAGAAACGTGCAAACAAAAAAATCGCTGCTCTTATTGGCTTTTGGTGAAAAAGCAAACCGATTAAAGATGAGAAAGCAAAGCAGAGACACCCCAAAAGACGTTTGAATCTTAAATGGTTGAAAGAGACGATCAGGGCCGTAACACAATTTGGCGACATGATTATAACATAGTTTGGTCCTGTCGTTGCGGACTGGATCAAACCCTGTTATGAAAGCAATCCCCCGACACAATGGTTTTCTTAATGTGAATGGACCACACGTGATGGCCAGCTATGCCCAGTTTGCACCAAATTCCCCCAGTGATACTGTACCTGATCTCACTTGCAACAGTTTTACACACCGTAACTCCATGGACTTCAGTCGGCTTACTCCTGATTCACGCTGATGCGAGTGAGTCTAGAAGGAGGCCTGTCATGTTGATTTCTGGAAACTAATCCGTGATCTTTAAATTACATACCAAAAATATAGTACAAAAGTAGATTTACGCATATCTAATAACTATTTCAGTAATAATAAAACTCAGCATAGTAGCAAAAAGAAAGTCAATTTAAAGGCACAATACTTGATCAGTGACTGGCAAAATAATTTGACCTGCTGTATCATTTTAAGGCTGTAAAAAGGCATACTTGTATTCTTTGTACTCTTGTGTACGGCCTGTCATGTTCCATTCAGTACAAGCCTTAAAGTGATTGTAAAGCACTCTTTCTTTAATTTTATTTGGGGGGGGGGGGGGGGGGGGGGGGTTTTTTTTTTTTTTTTTGGGGAGGGGGGGGATTTTGTTTTGTTTTTTTTTTAAAGGAAAACAAAACTGAAAAAATTTGGGATAAAATCTTCAAACCGTAATAACCTGCTATCGACTCCTTTCTAAAGATGATTTGGTGCTTTGTATTTTTGTTGATGCTATTGTTGTGACTTAGCTGAGAATTGACTCAGTACCTTCGGGGACCTGCTGATATAGCTTTTTGGTGTCACTCTCTACTGTAAGTACACGGCAAGAAACAACACCACAGGAAACTCAAGAGCGTAGTGCGAGCACCCCGGTTTTAGCTTAGCGTTTTCACCGCGAAAGAAATCCTTCCGCCTCCGTTGATAGCCAGGCTTAGAAGGAGATCTGCTAGGGGTTTGGTGGCCGACCAGACGTGCTCCCGTAATCGTCTCGGTGTCTGAAGATTTTGCATCTCTTTAATTCTGTTGCTGTGTTGTGATCTCCTTGTTTCAAGTGAAATCACAGGTCGTGTGTATGTTAAGACCATTTTCCTTTACGCGAGTATTGCTCCTTTAAAAGAAAATCCCCGTTTCAGGGCATCGTTCAATCCCGCCATCCCTCAGCTTGGTGGGGAAAAGCAACAACAACAACAAAAGCTATTTTCAGTGAATACTGGAGTATTTTCTGTGTGTAATTGTAAATTTTTTTATTCCAGAAATACTGTAACTATCTAGGGTGCAAACCTCCCATGTTGACCTATTCAGAAAACAGGATCATCATTGGGAGTGGGGGGGGGGGGGAAAATTTTTTTTTTTATTTTTGTTTGGGGTTTTTTTTTTTTAACAAACCCTTTCCTTTTTTAAAAAAAAAAAATTATAATAGGTGTTTAAAGAAACTAGTGCAAATTTTATATAACAGTTTAAAGAAGCTGAATGCTTTCTTCGCCTGAATATACCTGAATAGAAACATTTTTTCAATCCATAATGCTTTGCAGTGTTCTGAGCGGATCGAGTTGTTTTTGTTGGATTTTTTTTTAAAGAGGAAAACTAACAATACTTAAATATGTATCAGTCCCTTTATACGGAGGACAGGGCTCATTCATGCCAAACTGCAGATATACGGCAAAGTTTATACCAAGCCAAATTGCCGCTGGTACTGTAAATCCCAGTCACTTAACCTCGATTTCAATCCAGCACTTCTGGGCTTTGATTACAGCCTCTCCAATGGTCACATTTTCACACCGAGGACAGGGTTTTGCATTCATTGCGCCCCATTCTAATTCATCATCTGTATTGGCTCTCGCGCACCCATGTATTTGGCCTGAAGAAGGGGGTTTTTTGCCTTCTTCATTATTGGGAAGCCCTTTGCTTTGCTTCATTTTCATCGCACTTCCCGGCTCATCAGCATGACCCCTCCTGTAAAACAAGAAGTCATTTGTAAAGTGATCTGGACGTTCGTAGCTCCAAGCAATTCATGAAGGGTGTCCGGTCCACCACCGCATGGGTCAGCAACCTGCGGCCCGAGTGCCATCTTATCCAGCCCGTGGACGTGGGGCTTCGGTAGCTGTTAGAAGTGGGGGGCTTCAGTGGCAGTTGCTTTCCCTATACCGCCGCGGGGAGAAGCACCAGCTGCAGGAGCTGCCCCCACGCTCAGCGCCGGTGGTAGCTGGGTCCCAGCAGCCACCCAGCTTCTAGCCCACCTCTGACCTGAGCTGGGCCGATCCCTGAAAGGGCTGCTGACAGCTGTACTTCAATGAAATGTTCCACTCTTCTCCTAACAACTGATTATTTTAGAGATCCAGATACACCGTCCATCACTAGTGCCAATCGGGCAATGCACCAAGCATTTTCCACTGGTTAGTTGTCTGTGCACTTCTTCGTACAATATAACAACTAGGGCTTTCTTTCTCAAATTATCGATTACTCCAATCTTTCCCCTATCCACTGAAAAGATATTTCAAAAGATCTACCTGCCCTCAACAACATTCAAACCTTTCTCGTAAGCAGAGCGTTTAGCAAAGGGAGAACGTCATCGCTCTCAGCTGGGCCGGGTGCGCATGGGAACCCGTGCCGAATCATGGTGCTCTGTCCTGATCTGGTTTCAGTGCCTCCGATAAGGGGGCTTCCAGCAGTGCACCTTGCCCATCTGGAGTGATACAGCGGGATCTGGCGCACAGCCCAAGGGCATCTCTCCTTTCCCAAAACCTCCTCTGCCCACTGATCAGTTTTCCAGGAAATACCATCCTCGCGTCTCAAATGTTTGAAAAAAATAAAAAGAAAAGAAAAAAAACAAGGTTGTAGGTTCGACAACGAATGCATGGCTTCGGGAACCGCTTCCCTTCATGCTCCCATAAAGAGGGCCGGTTTCTGCCATTCTTGCTCAGGAGAGCCAGACCCATTGCAGTCAGCGTGACTGTCCAACCTGGTAAGGAGCCCACCATGGGCTATCTCACCCACGCTTGAGGATTTGCAGGGGCTGAGCCTCATTTGTGGCCCTGCCTGATCCGCTCCGCACATTAAATGACCGCGAGTTTTAGGACCCTGCTCCTTAATGGCTCCTCTGCAGACTCGCCCCTTGTCTGCACCACCCACCTTTGAGGGTGACAGAAGCAAAAGGGGGCGAAACAGGCTAAACGCAGCCTTGCCCCTTCAAGACAGTGCTAATTCCATCTCGTGTGTTAATCCGATGTTTTGGTTTGCAGGTTAATTAACTTCATTCTCCACCTCCCAAGATCTTTCTTCTAGGTGATTCATAGCACGTTACAATTATTAAAGGCTTCATCAGCATCAGTTATTCTCCCAACAAATCATTACTTTATTTTGCCCAACTCTGCACAACGTATTTCTGTGCCTTTCCTATTTGACCCTGCTTTGAGGCCCGGATCAGCAAGAGCCTCATTTTTATCTGGGGGCTGTTTGATTTTCAAGGGTTACTTATCTGAAAGTTAGCTCTGTGATCACAAACCTTACTGAATTAGGGTCCTTAGTGCTGGGGACTAGCTAGTGTTGTGGCCAACATTTTTCTTCCGGGTCTTTTGGAAGTTTCATCACCATTTCCATGCCCTTTTCCAAGCCGCTGGCAGAGGAGATACAAGAAGGCAAAGTTCCTGGTGAACACTGATCCTTGCGTCAACCCAAAACACCCTTTGCTTTTGGTGTCCACTTTGTGTTTTCTTAAGTCATTGGCCCCTGGTACTTATCTTGTAGGCTAGAATAAGCATTGTATCCTATCCAAAAAAGGTTAAAATGATGGCATCTTTTTCCTAGACCTCTGTAAAGTGGAATAAATAACAGATCAGTGTGTTAAAACATGTAGGGCTTTGTTGAGTTCAATCAACAGTGAATTAGGCTACAAAAAGATGTGGCATTTGTCCCAGGACAAGTTGCACCACTGTTTGTCTTGGAACAAAAAATCCCGGGATTGCTGTGTACACACATGACACTTCCAGTCCGGGTTTAGCGAGCGCTGCCACTTTTCTGCCATTGACTCAATGATGCAAACCTGGGACAACCCTTCAGACACACGTGGTGATGTCCCGGGGCATGCTGTTAGGACTTCTTACCCTGTGAACCTTTTCAGGGTTTGTCCTGGGACAAGGCACATCAACCTGTGAATGATCACAGTTTGTCCTGTGATAAAATGGTTTCTTTCCTGACAAATTCGACCTGTGTCTGTACCCTTAGTTGGCACTTTGGGGCTGATTTGTGTTGAGTTACCCTGGTCTATTCTCTTGTGAACAAGACCTGGGACTACAACTGGATAAAATGCATCAGCACTAATGAAGATAGGTTTCCTCCACCGTTCAGCTGACAGAGCATCTCTTACCACGCCGTGTTATTCAGTGCTTAAGGTCATCAGGTCTAAGGATATTTCTGACATAATACTAATAACCGTGGGGTCTTCTTTCCTTCCTTCCTTCCTAATATACCCAGAACTCTAGTATTATACATGTGTATTCAGCTAACTTGGAGATGTGAATGAGTCAGTGCAGACCAAAATCAGCAATGAAAATGTAGGAGTTACAAGGCATCTGCTTATGTTCCTGTCATGCTTTGCTACCCACGCTCCATTTTATTCATTTGAAATACAGGCAAACCAAATTACAGAAGTGGATCTGACTTTACCTAATTGCCAGTGGAAAATGTTAAGGAAACACTGATTTAAATGTAAATCAGTTGGGGGGGTTTGGGATTTTTTTTTACAATTTACTGGATTGGTGCCACTTGTCCGTGTCCACTCTTCTGCCCTTTCCTGAAGCTATTAGGACTTAGCAAACATTTTTATTTTGAAAAATGAGGTGAAATAGCACAAAAATATTCACTTTGGAGCTGTGCAGGGTGTGTTCATAAAGGCATGCTTTCCACAATGAGAAGGAGCGTCTGCCCATTGACTTCAACAGCAGCATGCCCATGCTCTTTGGTTAGGGTATTTTGAAAGCATGAGATTCACTTCACAGCCGCATCCATGTTTCCTGACATACAAGAAAGAGCTGTCCCCTCCATTTGTGCAGCATGATCCACCCCGTCTGGAAAATGTGGTCTGAGGTTTTCCTGGTGCATTGTAATTGAAGCTCAGACGTGCTTTGAAAAGGGAAACGTGCTACTGTTACATCTGCAAAACCTTCTCGTGCCTGCT